GTTTTTTGATATTTGCTCCTTCTTGTAGTGCCTAATGAAAAATATAGCAATAGAAAAAGACTTCTTAATGGTTGTTTGCTTCCAATGAGTGAATTTATAAACATCGTGAATAATTCCTCTTACTTTGCGTGACAGAAAGCATTTTCTCATTAGGAGTAACATTTTTTTTAATGAGGTAAATTAATGGAGTTTATCTGATTAATTAAAAAAAGAAAAGTGCATTAAGAAAGTTCCGTTTGTAGAAAGATGAAAGATTTGGGCTTTTCTGAATGAATCTGCTTTAAGCTGTTACATAATTCTTTAATGAGTTTCTGATGAATAGTTAAAGATTTCGTAAATAACTTGCTAACCTGATGGTTTTTTGCTGAGAACGTGATTGCTTTTGAAACTCTAAATTACATTTTATATGCAAGGGTAAGAAAATGACGTAAAATATATAATATTTATTCTACTAAAGTCCTTTTGACATGAAAAAAACAAAGTTTGTTACCTTTTAGTCTTTACCTGTAGTAGTAATAGCATCTAGCAAGAAGGAGTTAAAGATATAGCGTTTAATAAAATGGAAACTGTATTGAAAAAATAGTACCTATGTTCTGTGTAAGTTAAAAATATAAAAGAAGTGACTGATTTTTGGTATCTAGATAACTCAAAATGTAAATAATGGGTAGAGCAGGGTGGAGTCGCCATTAACAAAAAGAAGTTACTTTTATGTTGGCGTTATGGTTAATTGAGAAATTCGAAAAATATTAATTAATTAAAGTGCCTGTCTGGAGCACGGCGTTGTACGGGTGCAAAACGTGGACTCTGGGTGCGACAAAAAGAAACGGTTAGAAGCGTTCGAAATGTGGTGTTACAGGCGAATGATGAGGATACCGTGGATAGAGAGGTTAGAAATGAGGAGGCACTAGAAACAATAGGAGAACAGAGGTCACTGTGGAAGTCAGTAAGAAATAGGCAAGATAGCACACTTTGTCAGACATGAAGGACTAGTTAGACATATTAGAAACAGGATTTAAGAGGAGTAGGGTGGATCTAGATTAGATTACTTTTCACAAACAGTTCAGGATGTGGGATGTTGTAGTGTTGAGAAAATGCGATGATTAGATTGGAATCATTGCGAGACTCTTCCGTAAAAATCGTTACTTTGACATTTTGGACAGTCGTATACCTATAGTTGAAGACGTCCGGAAGTGCTGTCTAAAACCCGTGTCCTATTACCTTTAACATTTGGTTAGTTTCAAGTATCTACTTAATAAAAAAGGAAATTAGCCCGAAAATAATCTTTAGGGAGAAATTTCAACTGCGAAATTAATTTGCCCCTGCAGTTTATCATCAACATAAGTACATCAAGTATTTTTGAGCTTTGCTCTTGATTTACCTACTAATTACAAATGGTGACACAAATCTTGACGCTAATGATACGTAAGATTAATTGATTCAGCAAAGATCAATTCATTTGGAAAACATACAATTTTAACAGCGCTGTCTGTTTTTTTTTAGTATCTGTTTTGTGAATCATATGTTAAAATGAGATTTTATAATCTGTGGGGAGGCACACAGTTAAAGAAATTTTACTTATCCATCGAAGACAGAAAGAAACTAGAAAACAGACAAGAGAATGATAGTAACATACGTACAAAGTATTCATTGTTTTTCCGTTGTCTTTTTTCAGTTGAGTTATGTAGACGTGCGGAAGGCTGAAGTCCTTTAGTAAGGACATATTTACTCTCGTCGCCTTGAACCGGTGTGTAATACGATTACAAGGAAACACTCGTTTATTGGCTATCTTGAAAGAAACGATCGAGAGCTACTTTGGAAGGATTCATTCCAGACTATATTTACTTATATTTCTTTGTTCAATATTGGACAGCTGGCTGAACCAGCTTTCCGTTGTGCTAGGTCATAAACTCGTAATATCGGTCGTATTTCTACTAGAATTATCTGAAAATCCATAAATCTTGCAGCGATGTCGGCTTTAAGATACTTTTTTTCGTTTTCTTTTCTTCTATTTCTACTTATGTCGATGTAGGGCATTTCCAAATCCTGAAATATTACTGGATCATAAACGTACAGAGAGGGTTTATGTTCTTGGTCGGTAATTTATTGGTTTTGATATATGAATGTGTTATGAAAATTAATAAAAATGAAACGAATATTTTGGTATATGAGGGATGAAAAAGTAGGGTTAGAAAAACCAGAAGATGTGGATATTTAGGGAGTTTTATATAACTCAAGATGGAAATATTATGGTAGATATAAAACAAAGAAAAGTTCTGGGTAGGGCTGCTTTCTCGATCGAACAATTTGAAAATTCGAAAAAGATTACTAAAAGTAGATGTTTGGAGCACGACTCTATATGAGGCCGAATGGTTTTAGGATGATGCTAAAAATACCATGAATAGAAAAGGTTAGAAATGAGGAGGTGTTAGAAATAGACAAGATGGCTAGATTAGTATAAACTGGAGTTACGAGGGGTAGAGATACATTTAGATTAGATTTTGGCTTTATTTGTTCTCATCAGCACACCAAAGGCAACCTCGATAAATTATCGATTAAACCGAAATTGGTAAATAAAAAGGTAGATGAAATAATACCTATCAAACTGTAGGTATAATCATTGGATTGTCGCGTTTCTAAGCGGGAGCTTCCTTGTGTATTCCAGCTGATTACGCTTTGAATGACGCATATGGACGAGAATGTGTGACCAAATTGCAGTTTTCTCTTTCTATTTAGTCTGACAATAAATATTGTAGCGAGCACGAGTGTGTTTGTGTGCGATCGGGCACAGGTGTGCGTGAACGGCTTATCAATTCGCCAACTAGCCGCGGGCGCCTTTCTTCATGTGTTCTGGGAAAGCAGTTAAACAGTCCAAAGAAAAAATAAACTATCCGGATGTTTCCAGAAGGCTCCAGAAAGTAAACAGAAGAGTATTTAAAGGACGAGACGATCGCCAAGAGGAGAAATAAATTGACCGTTGTAGATGTGAATCCAGAAATAAATTGACAGTGATAGCAGTGAAACAAATAGCACAGTGAATAATCATATATATCAACAGTAGTGTAAATAAATAGAATAATTCATAACCTAAGTTTAGTAATAATTTAATAGTGTTCTTTAATAATTAGTGTAAATAAATAGTTTTTGTCGTTGTCAGTTTTAGAAGTTAATTTTGTTAAACCCACGAACATTACAATATGCAAGAAACGGAAAAGTATTTTTACGTTTTGTTTTCGTTGTATATATTATTATTGAAGTAAGTTCTAGTAAAATTAGTGGTTGATGCTGACCCAGTTTTTGGGGGATGATTTTCCGTCCCTAGATCCTCGTTATGCAGTTTCAGCAGTGGGGTGGCTTCGACCGAAGAATTATGAATGGAAACCAGAACAACAAGCCGCATTTTTCTCAATGGTTGCCTTTCAATATACTCGTGTAGAGCGTACATGTGTGGGTGTATGAATGCTTGCGTGTATGCCGTGCAACTGTAACTTCAACTGCAACTGGATGGATGCAAAGACATAATAGAAATGACGGTTTTTGTGTTTTGTTTCGTTCGAGAGCAGTGCATAATGAATTATTATGTGCGAGTTCAAAGTGAACGCGCATATAAAAAAAAATGTCCCCGCGTTAATGACGAATACGTAAAAAAAAGTTCGTCACATTCCGCCTGGCTTCCTGCTAACACCAAACTAGTATTTTTGCTGTCAATTTCCCCTCATGTGTTTTCTGATTGTTAAGGTGAAACATTAAAACAAAATGGAAATGGAAAATAAGGCAAAAAATGGAACTACTTCCGGTTGGCGCTAATGAATAATGACTCGTAATCAACTGCACATTTTGAAATATTCAACGTGCTAATTCATAAAAGCTGTACAACTTGACAAGAATAGGAAGAAGTTTCATTTAGCAGCTTTTCTGCGCTGAAGGAAAATAAAGAAAGTATTCGGAGGAAGAAGGACGACAGAATAAGAAAGATTTCTCGTACGTCTCTTCTAAACGCGGAGAAGGGTCCATGAATGGCTAACCAATTTATCGACTGCTTTTCAATAATTGAATAAAAATGAGAAAAAATACAGTAGAAATGGCAGGGGGCTATCACAGGGTGAAGACGGTAGGCCGCCTCACCACCCTGCATCTTCGTGATGTTGAATTCAACTTCAGACTCTCGATTTTTCGATTATAATGATTGATTCCGTTATTTATTGTTGCTAATTGACCTACTAACACAGTAGATAAGTAGGTGTTGGCTTGCAGTTTTAAATAAATAGTTTAGATGTAGCAACTTTGTCGCCGAATGATGAGGATAGCGTGGATAGAGAAGGTTAGAAATGAAGAGATCAAGAAATGAAGGTCCAGTCAGAAACATATAAACCTAGATTAGTTCGCAAATAGTTAAGAATGTAGATTAGTGTAGTTTTAGGGAAATGCGAAGATTAGTTCAGAATAGGAAAGATTGGAGTTGCGTGTCTAACCAGTCTTAAGACTGACGACCTTAATGATGATGACAGACATATAGCTTTATTAAAACCTTATGTTTTATGATGATAAGGCGCATTTACGTCTACTCTACAAACATGAATTTTACAATCTTTAAATATTTTTATACTTCTCGTCTTCCGACATTTTCCTCCTCTTCAACATTACCTATCTTCTTTCCATTAAAAAGCCTTTTCTTTTCCTTTCCCGCCTATTTCTTGTGTTTTTCTTTTCTATGGTTTTATTATTCTACATTTTAAACTGTTATACTCGTATAAAGCGAAAAAAAGTTGAAGCTCAATTGTGAACAAGTTTGTAGTTGCTATTGTGTTAATTTAATAATATTTAGACTAGCGAAATGTAGAAGTTCAAGAGTTCAAGTGTTTTATTAATAACGTGTTAGTAGAACTAAATCCTTCCAGGTACCCACTGATTAAAATTTTGTTTACATGCTTACTATTTGTTTCAAAATTAATATTAGATATATTTTCAGTAACGTGGAAAATTGTATTGACGTTTTGTTTCAGATTTCCTCGCTTGTAGAACACAATGAAAGTAGTAATGTAGGAGGCATTTTACGACCGATGGCGATTGCCAGGGTTGGCCAGGCTGTGAATGTTGCTGTTGAACGTTTCGTCACTGTTGGGGAAACCATCGCGGACGATTATGCGGAAGTGCGACAGGGAATGTTTGAAGCTTGTAAGGAGGCCCGACAAGCCGGTGAGTTACTATTAAAAAAATTCTATTCCTTTTGCGATAAGTAAATTTAGTAAATGCTTCTAATTCGGTACAAAACCTCTGAAAGAGTAGTATTCTTGATTGCAAATTGTTAATGATTTACGAAAATTTATTATATCAATCCATTCTCCTATAATGAGTCGCTGGAAACGTGTAGCAAAAGTAAAACTTCTTAAGAATAAATAGTAAATGTTTCTGAGTGGTCCTCCTTCAATTCAAAGAATAGTTTGATATAATTGTCATCTATCCAATTTTACTATTTAAAAATGGTCAAGATGTATTACGTTAAAGTAACATACATTAACACGAGTTATTGTGAATAGTCCTACATATAGAAAAAAATAAACTTGACAATAGAGAGATCCTGTTAGGTGCAAGTATGTCAAACGTAAGAGAGACGCGGCTTTTACTCCCCTACAGCAATAGAACGAATACTAGGTACCTGTATCTCCGCTTTGCTCGTTGGATGTGCTATTAGAGGTAATTTAGAATGACATGACCCTTTATCTGCAGTTGTGCAGTGATAAAACTTTGCCTGATCATAGATTTCCACATTTCCACCTATTTTGTCTGAATCTATATTTCTAGTTGTATAACGTGACCCATAGTCACAATCACTAGAGTAACTGTTTTCCAAATGTACAATATGGATGCAATACGGATCACCCTTCCAGCATCAGAAGGTCCATATTTTTTTAATCTATACTTCATTTACTTTCTGTAGCGACGTGCCCCTTCCAATGTCTTGGATGAGCGCTGGAAAAATCGTAGGTAGGGAGAAAAGAACTTATTATACTCTCGACTCTTGTTCATTAAACATACTTTTTCATACAGTACCTGCCAAAGTTTTGTTCAATCATGAATAGTAGTGCGAGTCGAAAACAAGCGTTAAAGCCTTTAATATGTCTTCAAATATAAATAAACATCTCTTTGGTATTTTCAGTAGTAAATGGTACCAATAACAGCACATTTGAGCAATGCAATTGTAGCGGATAAAATGGTCAACTGTACGGATTATACGCTCCTCACTGGTTATGAGTTGGCCGTTCTTTTCTGTCCTAGTGCTATTCTTTTCTATTTTGCGCCGGTTAAACTGAAGGTCACATCGCTACAGAAAGTAAACGAAGTATACCACTGCGTGGTCTGGCATACAATTACGATGTGCATATGATGTATTGTTCCTTTTTAGACTATAGGTAAACAAAACAAATAATAACTTTAATAAAAATTGTAGTTAGTAGGCAACACTAATTCAAGAATTTTGTGAGAAGTTCATATTATGTAGACTACCATCACACTGTGTCAAATAATATCCCAGTCCTTTGTAAAAGGATTTTCAAACAGTTCAACTGAAATATGTTAGGCATTTGAAGCTAAATGAGAAATCGGGGTCGTACTCTATTAACTTACCCCAGCAATTCTTTAGCTGTACCTTTATTACTTTGCGGAAGGGATGAGTCTTAATATTTTACATGGTCGGTTAAATATATTCCTCACTGGTATAAAAGTGATGTCATAAGTTTAGTACTTATGCCAGTAACAAATGATGGAATACATGTTAATACGTAAATCTCATTCGTAAAATCATATTTTATTTATGTTGCTTCTAAGGCTTTCGCTACTATGTCTGGTTCATTGAAAAGTTCCCTAATTTTCCTAATTTATATTTCCACAGGCTTTAAATTTGAGTTTCTTTCGTTTTCTTTCCTTCGACTTCGTTATTTTATTTGGAATATTCATTTCTTTTATGAGATGATAAGTAGTTGTATAGGTATAATAACGTCTTCGAAAAGCATTATTTTTTTTGTAGTATGCAGGATAGATAGTTTGAAAAATTGATAGAAATGTGAGAATGTCATCAAAAACACATTACATTAGAAAAAAGTACACCGTCTACGTGAAAGTTTGGATTTATGCCAAATTGCTAGTCCTTGCTCTTGCTATGACCCAAGACGCTCTCGAGGTGCCTTCAAAGATGTAACAGATGTCTTTAGAAAAGGACCCTTAAGTAAAAGTTAAAGCTAGGGCAGTTTATTTTAATTTCCATCTATGTATATTCGTGAAATTTTATTTCTATAAACAATTTGATTCATAAGTTGTTGAAAAACTGTTGAAGCATCCAAAGTCAAAAATTTACATTTTTTTAGCTGTTAACATCAAAATATCATCATCATCATCATAAGGTCATCAGTCTTAAGACTGGTTGGACACGTACCTCCACTCTTTCCTATCCTGAGCTAAACTTGGCATTTCCCTAAAACTAGAACAGCCCACATCCTTAACTATTTGCGAACAGTAATCTAATCTAGGTCTACCTCTACCCCTCCTAACTCCTGTTTCTGCCTCTAATATGTCTCTGACTAGACCTTCATGCCTGAGAAGGTGTCCTACCAACCTATCTCGCCTATTTTTTATTGACTTCCATAGAGTCCTCTGTTCTCCTATTCTTTCCAATACCTCTTCATTTCTAACCTTTTCTACCCACGATATCCTCATCATCCGCCTATAACACCACATTTCGAACGCTTCTAACCTTTTCTTTTCCGCCGCTCCCACTGTCCATGTTTCGCACCCGTACAACGCCGTGCTCCAAACATACACCTTTAACAACCTTTTTCGAATTTCTAAATTAACCGTTCGCGAGCATAGAAGTGACTTCTTTTTATTAAAGGCGACACGACCCTGCGCTATCCTCTGCTTTATATCCCTACTACTCCTTCCATCCTCACTTATCTGACTTCCTAGGTATCTAAAATCAGCCACTTCTTCTAATTTTTCGTCTCCTATCTTTATATTCGCTCTTTCCCTACTTTTTCTTCCCTTGCATATCAGTATTTTAGTTTTACTTTTATTTATTTTCATACAGTACTGATCTGTCAGTACCGCTTCCATTTTATTTAAAGCTATCTCTAGGTATACAAAATATACAAAATTGAAAATAGAATAGCTGTTTTACCCCCGGGGGGAGGTTAATTAACCCTTTTGGCTCGGAATCTAGGCTTTATGCCTTATGTATAAGTGTGGCTATTCCGTTGAGAACTCCGAAATAATTGTTGTTTTCTGAAAGTGGATATCTGCCACTTTGAATGAAGAAGAAAATTTATAATAAAATTTCTGACAAAAGTCCTTCCTTCTTCATTTACGGGTTTCTTTAAAACGTTTTTCTCGTACAAAAGTTTTCAGCCACCTTCTACCGTATTGACTGACGAAACTGACATCAAAAGTTACTTGAATGAACAGTTTTATCTTAGATTTTTGTCATGCTTTTCTCTTTATAAGTAATCGTTTGTGTCGTAAAAGTAAGGCGAAGATATTTATTTTAATTTCAGAGCTTTCTGGTTTCAAAATAAAGGTATTTATTTTGTTATTGTTAACTTCTATTATTATATTATCTTTCACCTTCATCTCCAGCACTTTCATTGTTTCGTTTCCCCATTATAAACACTGTATATTTTACAAGGTCATTCCCATACCTCAACCCTTTACGTTCCCTCTTAGAGGGGGTTACATCGTGTATTAGAGTAGGTAACAACCAGACCTTTACAACCTGAAAAATCTTTAAAATTGTGTTAGTTATATCGATTTAAAGGCGTGAATTTTTAATAATAATGCTGCTATCTCAATCTTCTCTTTGGATTTTTTCATTAAAATGAAATAATAATTTTAAGCCTTTTTATGTTTGAGTTTCTTTGTTGTCCTGTTTTAATAACAATTGATGGATTGCTTAATGATGGTATAAAAATTGTTGTGAGGTAAGAAAGTTTCGACATTTTCTAGGTCAACGTTATATTAAATGAAGTTAAAATCGGGTTCAGGTGATCCTATGATACAAGGATGTCCCAAGTAACACCTCTAAAAGCTTTTTAAATCCCGTTGTAATAATAATATTGGCGTTTCGAAAGGAAGTTTAAGTACATCTAGACTTGCTGCGCGTTTATCTTCCTATTCACGAGAAAATTTATTCCCGGCGATTAGTCAGCCAATAAGAAATATTGCGATTCCCTGTTTCAAATAATGGATGCCAAAGGAAGTATGAGACGGACAAAGTAGATGTTTAAAATTTCAAATTACTTTCATAAATAGTAATTCGTATACTGACGTAAAGAATGATTAAGTGAGGCTAAATGAAAATAAGATTTGGTAATTAATACTTTATTAATACCATTGTTATTTAAAGAATTATTTAAAATTGGCAGTTTAAATTCTTTTTAACAAGGAATTACAATTCATCCCCAAGTAAAAATAAAAGGAATTATAACCAAATCGCTTCCAAATATCCGAAATGACCTTAATCGTCCCTAAAAATTAGACGAAAATTTAAATTCTAAAATTATAGCCAAAATACGGCCCTTTGAAACTTCAAACTAGCACCACATTAAAAAAGATCCGAAAGAGCCCTCAAATAGCGTCTCGCCTAAAAATTGACTAATTAATACCAATTTATCCATCAGATATTTAAATTTTTATTAATTAATATTAACACATGTATATAGTTACAGATTATTATTTGTTTTGAAAAAAAAATTCTATGTGCATCTATGATTACATACGTTCATTTTTACTAGCTCTAAGAGATATACTTTACAGAAATTTTTGAAAAACTAATAATATTAGCTTCGGAAACTGCTGGCTTATTTTCCGTTCTTCGAAAGATAGTTATAATTTACATTGTATTAATAAAATAACACTAGCTTAATATTTTAGTATCTCTTTAGTGCTGTTTCGACGCTTTTTTAGTATAAATGCGTCGCCCTTTCGGTGGTATTTCAGTAGCTTTCTGTAAAGCAATCGCGTCTGTATCCGTGTTCTTTAAGTAGCTACTAAATGCGGTACTGTTTCAGTACTGAATTCGTACATAAAAAAAATTATGGAGCTAGTTTGGTCCTAATTCAGTAGAGTGAAACTGAAAAGAATAATTTTTACTCGGGTCATCATTAAAAGGTCGTCAGTTCTAACTTGAGCTAATCTTCGCATTTCCCTAA